CCCCCCCCGGGAGGGGCGTGTCTGGGTGAGAGGAGGGTACTTTAAAGAGGTGATTTTACGAACTGAGTCTTAAAGTAGATGGACGACAGACAGCGAAGGGGATTTGGAGAGGGTGGGATGGAGAAAAAGTGACCAGCATGTGCAAAGACCCTGGTGTGTAGCAAGTGAACGGCAGAGCATGAGGTTGAAGGCAGTGGATACATGGTGAATGAGCCGGACTCTAGGGTTTGGACTTCATCCTAGGGAATGAATGAAAGATTTCAAGCAGAGGCCTAACCTGGTAAAACTAGGTTTTCAAATAAGTCACTGTGGTCATGGAGGATGGATTGAAGTAGCTGGGAATTGGAAGCAGGGAGCCGATTTTAAAGGCTAGGGAAACATTAATATACATTTTACACTAAGGTTTTTGTCATACTTGAATCGGACTTCAACATATTGTTGCAATTAAATCAGTGTTTCCTAAATGAGACTTTGTCAAATAAAAATAGAAGTGTCAGACTTCTGACTAAAATTTTATTTGGCGTTGGGGGTGTATGCCACCTTTTTTCAGGGTTAAGAACTTTGTGCTTTGCTGTGGCTGAGATTTCAGAGAGCGACTTCCAGGAGTGGCGAGCAGTCTATCAGCGCGCGTCCACATCTGTGCAGAACCGGCCGCTCAAGCTCGAAGAGAGCTATGAGTTAATCGAAAAGGTACGTGGGAGACTGTTCTGCTCATATAGAAAGTGTGGTTTCCAGTCTTTACTCGAGGGGCCAATAAAATAAAAACCAAAATATCTTGACCACTTACTGTTGAATCTCCTTTGGTCTAAGCATTGACAAGTCTTAATACCAGTTAAAGTTTTTGTTGAAAAGCCTCTGGAATGACTTGGGTTAGATCTTTACTTATGTCACAGTTTCAGAGCTAAAACTAAAAGATGGTTTACTCTAGCGATCTCCTTGGCCGTGTATTTATTCCATTGCTTCTGCATCACAAGTCCACACACACGGTTGTGCACACAAGTCACAGTGCATGTGTACATCTAGTTAATAAAGGCGTATAATATGTAATTCAAAATAATAGAATAAATATTTTGTAGCTAATAGTAAAGAATGTTTCAGTCATTGTTCACCTTTCTGCATCTGTCATTTCTGTCATAACTAAAAAAAACCCAAATCCTCATTTTACTCTCCAAGAAAGCAAGGCTATTCATCCCAAGAGCGATGGATACGCTCTGATTGATGCTGTATAAACAGCAAGAAATCCTGCTTCTTTGAGAACAAACATTTTTACATAGTACTTACTTTGTACCAGGTGCTCTTGAATCTATTTACTTATTTAATTTTTTTTTTAAATATATCTTTATTGATCTCAGAGAGAGGAAAGGAGAGGGAGAGAGAGAGATAGAAACATCAATGATGAGACAGTCATTGATCGGCTAGCCAGCAACCCGAGCATTTGCCCTGACCGGGAATCAAACCCTGATCACCTGGATCCTAAGTCGATTCTCAACTGCTGAGCCACGCCCGGCCAGGCACTTATTTAATCTTCACAACACCCCTTTGAGGTAGGTCCCATTAATTATCCCAGTTTTACAGCCAAAGAAGTCAAGGCAACAGAGAGGTTCAGTAATTTGACTAGGCTTCCAGAGTCCCTGCTCTTAGCCACTCAGGTATCTTGGTTCTAACCTTTAAAGTTCCATAAATAACTTCCTACCGACTAAATTCCTTCAGCTGCCCTCAGGCCTGTGCTGCAGAGAATCGAGCTCCCTGTTAGCTGCTGTTTATTTGAACTTGCTTTCAGGTGCCTAAGAGCCAACATTTTTCCCCCTTCCACTCCCCATGTGCCGCCCCCTCCAGGAAATGTCATGCTCCAGCTGCAGGCGGTTTTCTCTGTTGTAAACAGTTGCCGTCTGTGACCCTAGATATTGTCCTCCCGTCTCCTCGATAGATAATGACCACCTTAGGAGCTGGTTTGTTTCTCAGATCTCCCTTATATTTGACCTGATTTTTGTATCCTGCTTATTTCTCAGAGACGTGTGATAGTATATATGGTACCTTCCAACCTGACACCCCCCACGTCCAATTTTAGATGTGCACACATAGCAGGAGGCTTGTTATCAATCAACTTATTGAATTTCTCTTTTTTCCTAACATATATATGATAAGTCTTGGGGTATTATGTGGTGAAATAAAATAATATTTTATTTGTGAGGCCATGACCATAATCTCTTTCAGTCTCTTCAACCAAAGTCGCATGTCTTAAAGCACTAATGGTATTGATTTTTAATCTTTTTCTTTTCTTACTCTTCGAGGAGTAAAAATATAAAAACTTAACCTGCTTGGAAATGCTCCTATCTCCTATCTACACAACCTGAACATAATATAGTCAGCCTTTTCCTCCATGCTAACGAGAGAGAATGAATATATAGTAGATGATAATAAAATATTTGAAAATGGATTTTAGATATTAAATTTTGTTTCTAGGTGAAGCATACTATAGAAAATTCTGGAGTTGAATGTTTAATATTCCTCACATTTTTAATCTGAATGTCCTAGAACTTATAGATTAGATTTAATAGGTTAAGCAATGCTGGTGGTGATTTTGTGTGTGTGTGTGTGTGTGTGTGTGTGTGTGTGTGAGATCTGTTAAAAGCCTTGTGATTTCCATCTTTAAATGAAATAGATGTTTAACCTTTTACCAGCAGATGGCGATGGTGAGTCACATTGAAATTTCAGTTGCCTGGGGGAATCCATAACTTGCGTGTATTTTTAGTTTACAAATACAGAAGCCTCCCTTACAACTGCCTCTTACCTAAAATAAATGGAAAAGGTAACTTATAACTAATTCCTCTTTAGTTCATGATAAGCCATGGTCTTTAAGTTTTATTGAAAAAATCTTAAGACCCAGAAAGGTTAAAGTTCCCTTGTTCAACCAGCTTGTTTCAAATTAGGACTGGTTTGCGAACCCATCCCTACCTCTGAAACCATAGTTTCATTCATTTATTCAGATTAGGTGGTTAATAGATGTTATCAGGGATGCACAAGCAAATAAGGAACACTTGGTGTGGTCCTCTGAGTGTCATGGTCTCAGCAGATTCCTTAAGGGTATCCAAGGAACCCAGAGGAGTGACTCACAAACTTAATCCAAAGGAAACTTTCAGAAAGGTGGCACCTTTGAAATGAGAAAGAATAGGCAACTGAGAGCTGTCTTTCTGAAAAATGCTTTTTCCAACCCTGATCATGTTAGTATCTCTAGAGCAGGGGGATATCATGTCCTCATTTGTCTGAGTTTCTGAGCTTTGTTAAAACCTGGGCTTAGCGTTCAGCAGGATTACGGTGACTGCTGCGAAGGCCACCCTAATGAGGCAGGTTTCAGCCTGTCAGACCACAGACCTGCTGCATCACCCTGGCTTTAAATTTAACTGTCAGTCTTACAGTTCACCCACTGTGGCTTCTTCCTTGGCTCTTTTCATTGCAATACATTGATTATTATTCTTTTTAAATGTGATTGGAATCTACTTTTTATGTAGAATGAGATAGTGAATTTTTTTTTTTTAAATATATCTTTATTGATTTCAGAGAGAGGAAAGGAGAGGGAGAGAGAGATAGAAACATCAATGATGAGAGAGTCATTGATCGAGCCCGCAACCCGGGCATGTGCCCTGACCGGGAATCGAACCCCGATCGCCTGGATCCCAGGTCAATGCGCAACCGCTGAGCCATGCCCGGCCGGGCGAGATAGTGAATTTTAAATTGTGAGAGTGAATTTCAAAGCTCTCTCTCCCCTCTCCCCTCTCTCCTCTCCCCTCTCTCTTCTCTCTTCTCTCTTCTCTCTCTATCTCAACCCGTTTTCCAAACAAAATCTACCTGAATCATAACATGTATAAAACAGGTGAAAGTGAGGCTCCTCTGGTTAAAGACCAGAGGGGGTGCAGAGAAGCCCAACTTGCCTCCCTTCCATCTCCACCTTGCCTTCATCATAGTTCATGAGCACAACCCTCAGGCTCCACTGAGCACAGTTTAAAAACCAAACAATATTCCATATACGTGTGAAGTTTTTAGAAAATGTGCTTCACAGCATCACGAGGGACATCTTCCCTCCCTTTTCAGGAAAAGATCAGAAGCTCCTTGCGGTCCTATATGGGATGCTTCTGAACCTACTTGAATTAATAATGCAGAGCGCCATTGACCTGTTAACAGTAGTGTCATAATAAAGGCATTCAAAACTTGAAAGATTTGTAGAGCTTTTTCTGAAAACAGGAATACTTTTCTTATGTAACAAAATAAGTGAGAATGTTGTAATACGATTAAGATTGTACTTTTAAACCCTGCTCCCTGTGCTATCCCTTCAATGTACATTCAAACAGGTAATTTCTGTTTTTGAAATGTAGCTAAAGTCTTAATTCTTTGGGGGCTATAACTTTTAGCGTAGCTGAAAAAAATGTACTAATAGGCCAAGAACATCCAAGAAGGTAATGGCATTTGTCCTTGGTTCAGTGCTTTGTCACTTCCAAGCACTAGAATGCATACCCTTCACCCTCAAGCACGCCGAAGGAGGGGGTGGAGTCCTCCAGATACTGCTCCCTGTTGACGGTCATTGGTAGATGAGAAGATTTAGGATTTTTACATTCGTCTATAAAATATCTCTGCTACAAGGTTGTACAGTTTGGGCTCATTCCAATGGAAAACTTTTCAGAATTTAAAAAATAATTATGCTATGGATTATTTCAAGATGTTACTGAAACATCTTTTCTCTGTTACTAAATATAGGCCAAGAGGTGACATTTATTACTAGGAAGACAAAATTATTCAGGAGCAAGAAGATCTTTAACATTCAAAACAGGTTATTAGAGTCCTGACAGATACTTGAGGTGTCCTGACCCAATTCGAGGAGAATTATCGCCCCTCTGTGGGTGTGTGGACAGGACGCCTCCTTGTCTCGCTCAGTCACGGCTCGAGAGGATTTGCAGTTGCCTCATGCTTTCAAGCAGCACACATGACCTGTTTTCCTTCTTCAGCCTCCTTCTTTTGAAAGATAATTAATGTGTCTGGACTTGTAATTTGAGATTATGAAGCTATTATCATGTTGGTCTATATTTTTTAAACTCAGATTTTTTCCAATTAAATAGGCATTCCTTTGTATTTGGTTAGGAAAATATCAAATAAGTAACAGAATAATTATGAAGCTTTATGCTTCAATACCGGTGGTTTCTCTGCAATTTCTCACCTTCTTTGATCTGCCACTTTACATTTATTCCAACATATTTCTAAGATATGTAGTTGTTTGTGTTTTTTTTTTGGTCTCATCCTCATACTTGTGCTGCTGGGTTCCTTTGAAAATTAACGTTACAGAGGGCTGTGATCTTATCAGGGAAGATATTATAACTAAACCGTTGGTTGAAATATGAAGGTATGCCTTCATGGTAAATACAGTTTTTGAAACTCTTGTTATATTTATTTGCTTCGATAGACAAATTCAATTACATCTTTAGCATTGCATAGATTACGAATTAATCACTTCTCATGTTTATGAAAGCAAATTATTTGTCTTGAGCATTACAGAACACAGAGTGAGATATTATACCTGTAGATTGGGCAACATTTGGAGCAGTATTTCCTAGTGATAAAATCGTTCTTCTTTTGTTATGAGGCATGGATTGCAAAATACATTTTTTTAAAAATGAAAACTTACCCAATATTTTTCTCTGTTA